AGGAATTTACCACCAAGTTAAAAACTGCTGATTGTTAGTTTTCTAATTTTTTTTATTGTTTTTTTTCCTTCCTTTAACTTCTCTCTAGCCACAGCAGTGTTGTCAGTTTAAATAGAAAGCTGGGTAGGCAGAGACTGTGCCCAGAGGGGCACTTTGGGAAAAACTGGAGCATGGTCTTCATGATCTGCAAATTCTTGTGCTTGGTGACAGTCATCCAACTAACTGTGGCCTGAAACCAGAGGAAATACAAATGTCTTAAATGTTACATATTTGCTTCTTTTCACAGGCTACCAGATTTGGATCTCAAGCAAGCCAAAAGGTGATTATACATTCAGCTCTGTCTTATTGAGTGTAACTGGCTTTAAATGTTATTTGCCTGCACCAATTGGTTTAGATTGGATCATTAACAGACCACTGTGCTTATCCTCCCTAGAGCACAGTAATTTTTAGGTTCTAGTTTTTCTTTCAGTGGGAATTGCAATCAACTGCAGTGATCAAATTAAGAAATGAACTGATACTCCACTGTGTATAACTGTTGGGTGTAGTGGAGAGGCAGTAGAATGAAACACTTTAATTCATGCTTGCAAGCTTAAAATACCCTCAGTTTATTTTTGTGAACCTTAAATCTGGTCTATCTTGAAGTAGTTTTTTTTTTGGTGATACAATATAATGCCAAGTGTCTTTTTGCATTAGTAAGACAGGACAAATATTACAAATATCAACTGCTTGATATTGTTATTAAATTAACTTGCTTGTGTGCCTTAAAAAGTAGCAATTACAAAAGCATTTCCTCTTTCAAGCTAGATTTGTTAAAACAGAGACAGTCAGGCCTGAATTTACCCAGAGCTCTGACATAAGCAAGATCTGGCATGGAGAAGTTTTAAATTCAAATATAAAAATGTCTAAAAGGAAAAGATTCTCCATGGGCCAAAGTTCTGAGTGAGAGAGAGGGTTCCCAAAGAGGAATATATGCTGTAGGGAGTTCTACTCTGACTCTTGTCTGTACCTGGCATGCTTTCTGGATTGCTTTGCTCAAAATAAATACAAAACTGCAGCTGCTGGTGTTCAGACAGATGGATGCAGGAGGATGTTCATACTCCAGATACTCCCCCAAACTTGTGCACGTTTTACAACAAAAATGTCTCATTAAGTCACCTAAACTTGGTAATTAGAAGCTTTCAAGTATTTACTGCTTGGCTTATAGAAGAAAAAATTAAGAGTTCTGCAAATCTTCTTTCACTCCTTGGAGCAATTTCCCTTTTAAAAACTGTTTTCCTTTAGTTTTGTTAACAAATGTGAATAAAGTGTAAAAGCTCATCACATCTACTGACAAGGACCACGGCAACACGGAGCCTAAACTGTGCTACCAAAGCTTCAATTCTGTTCCTGAAACATCTGATCTTTTGCTCTGTAGAACAGATTTAACATCTTTTTGAATTTACTATATTATTTGAAAGTATATTTGATGTCCAGTGACCAAACCTATCCACTCTTTGTCTTGTCAGTAGATGTTAAAGTTGGAAATGGTTCACGCTACTTAATTTGCCTGAAAAAAATGCTGCCAATTTGTTGCTAAAAGCTGCTTCTACCTCCCTTGCTCTTTCTCTTTTGCTGTCTGGGTAAAGTTTTGGGGCTCCAAGCAGCAGCCAGAGCCGGTAACACCCTCACATATATTCTTGTGCATGGACTCCTTGTCACTGTTTGTGCTGGATATGTGCATTTGCTCTTGAGCTCTCTCTGTTCTTTTGTTTTTTGCCTTAAGTCCAATCCGTTGAGAACGATGTTGTGTGTGTCATATGCTGACATTTCTTCAAGCCTATTTCAAATAGGTTACATTGGATGATGATATCCAAGCTTGGCTCTCTGAGAACGTGCTGTACTGTTGTCCACCCCCTTCATAAACACAATGACTTCAGGATCTCTGTTTGCATGTCTGATCCAGGAGTGCAGCCTACCAAGAACTACCCTGGGGTGGGGTTTGGAGGCAGACACTTTCATAAGTGCCCTGTTAGATACTGTTTGTTGTGGTGGTTAGGACAATTTCAATAATAGTGTAAGTGAAGATGGTCACAGCTTGAGGACTGGGGTCAGTTTTGAGCACCACAGGATAAGAAAGAGCTTGAAGGGCTGGAGCAGGTCCAGAGAAGGGCAGTGGAGCTGGTGAGGGGTCTGGGGAATGTGGTTTGAGGAGTGGCTGAGGGACCTGGGGGTGTTTAGTCTGGAGAAGAGGCTGAGGGGAGACCTTATTGCTCTCTATGACTACCTGAAAGGAGATTGGAGTGAGGTGAGGGCTGGTCTCTTCTCCCAAGTAACTAGCAATATGATGAGATGAATTGGGCTGAAGTTGCCCCAAGGGAGGTTTAGGTTGGATATTAAGGAGAATTTCTCTCCTGGCAGAGTGGTGAGGCCTTGGCCAAGGCTGCCCAGGGAGGTGCTGGAGTCTCCAGCCCTGGGGGGGTTCAAAAACCTGTAGATGTGGCACCTGGGGACATGGTTTAGTGCTCATGGGAGTGTTGGGTTGACAGTTGGACTTGATGATCTCAGAGGCCTTTTCCAACCTTAATGATTCTATGATTCCAAGAAGTGAGTCAGATGGAAACACAATTGTAGCCAAATCTTCCCTTTCCATATTTACAAAGTCATGCAGGTGAGAAAATGGGATAAGATAAGAATTCCTCCTGATGCTAGCAATGACTTCACTTGGAATCATAGAATGGTTTGGGTTGAAAGGGATCTTAAAGATGAACTAGTTCCAATGCACCTCCCACTAGAGCAGGTTGCTCAAAGCCCCATCCAGCCTGGCCTTGAACACATCCAGTGTTATGCTCCAGCACATCTGAACTCTTAGTCTTAGTGCATTATGCTCCCTCTTGTATCACATAAACAGTTTGCCAGGGGTAATAGACTCTGAAGGATTTTTCAAAGATGAAAAATGCCCTTTCTTGTTTTTCTTAAACATTTCCAATGGAAACAAGCCTTCTGTGATTTGCATTCACCTTTCTTACTAGGTGGAAATGGGGTTTCCTTTTGCCTTTCTCTTCTCAAATGACTTGTGAACTGGTAAGGAGTAGAAATACCCTGGAGAGTGGTGGTTGAGTAGAGGGTAGATCCTAGTGCTGTGGCAAAGGAAAGGCTTTTTGCATACCTGGGAATCTCTGGACAGAAGATGTTTAAGGTGTTTCCATCCCCAGGAAGAACATGAATGAAGGCTCACACCCTAACTGATGTCAGCAGTAAGATATAAACCCTTAGGAAATGAAACTTCATTAGTCTCTGCTACTGCTTAAGCATTTTATCTTGCAAGCAGATTGGCCCTTTTGGATTGATGGGGCTAATTCAGAAGATAATGAGTATAAAACAGCAATTCTGAAGACAAGTTTGACTCCATTCAAGGCTTATTAGGGTAGTAAGGAAAGGGATGATTTCACATGAGGTATTTGCAAACCCTGCTGTCCTTGTCAGTGTGGTCTGATGAAAGTCATTTTGTGACAGACACAAGTGGAAGCCCACAGTGTAAGATGCCTCAGAAGTAAAATATCCATATGGATCTTCTTCTGCATTGCCATAGATTTGTGAACTTCATTGTTTTCTCTCCCTGCCAACCTGGAGCTGTGAAAAAGATGCCAAACATCATCTGTCACAGCTTTGCCTCTTGCCTATTGCTTAGAAACAATTGGGCTGTTATTAACAGGTGACAATTGCAGCACTATGAGACAGAAGAATTGGTGGAAAAATCAACCAAAAAGATTTAGTTCTAAAGCAATTCCATCAGAAAGGAAAAATAAGGGTGGATGGGGTCAGTTGGTCCAGATACTGAGCTGCAGGTGGTAGCCAGGGGCCCATCTTCCAGGCTGTTGCTGGTTGAACCATTGCTTCTGCTTCCAGTGCAAGGTCAGACTTTGCTTGGACTCTGGGCATCTCCAACAACCTATCACCACGTGCATCTGGTTTTGATTTCTTTTCTTTTAATGTTGTTCTTCAGCACTATACTTTGTGTGCTTTCCAGCTCATTCTGCTTGTCTGAATCAAAGCTTCACGTGTTTTTGGAGATCCTGCTGAGAAATTAGCCTGCAGAAGCTGTTGGTTGTGCTTTTTGTTTGGAAAAAAAAAAAAAAAAGAAAATGTAACTGACCTTGTGTTTTTTTTGTTTTGCTTTTAAATAGGCATCAGAGTTAGGGCAGACATTAAATGAAAATGTTCTCAAACCTGCACAGGAAAAGGTAACTCTGGAACTAGTAAATTACTTGCAGAACGTGGTGGTGCTGGTTTAGGGAGTGACTGTTTCCTCCTGCCACAGCTGCCCAGTTTCAAGATGTCCATTTTTTTTCACCTATTAGCACAGCAGCAAAGGGGAAACATGGAATAATTCAAAGCTGATATGTTACCAAAGAAAAGTTAATGAGGGCAACTTCCCTCCAATCTTTCCCATGTCCACAAGAGTCTGTTACGTTTTTCCCTGTTAAACCCTATTTTATCAATTTTATGCTTTCAATAATGGAAGATGGAACAGGATGAAAATGGATAGAAAAATCAGTTATTAAAAAAATCAGAACTATTAGTAGTATCCCTGAGTGTTAAGTTCATGGTGTTTCCCCCATCTGCCTGCCAGCATTGTTTTAATTCAGAGAAGCCTCTTGGAGCCACTGTAACTCATCTGCTGCCTCGTTGGGGGAAGTAGAATTTGGGGCAAAGCCTATTGAAGGTGAATGGGGACAGTTTATTAATAAAAGTAACATGTTCTTGCAGCCTTTCCTTGACATTCATTCAGAATATTCTGGTAGTCACTTAAAATCAGGTTTTACATACAAGTTTTTTCACTGCTAGTACAGATTTTAGTCAAAAGATCCTCCCTAGTGTCAAATGCTGCCTTCTTGGTTCATGTTTAAAAAAACCCCAGTACTTCTATATCTTTCCTGTTTGATGTGCATTTGTTGTGTGCTTCTAAAATTTTGGATCAGCTCCAAAATTTTGATGAAGTCTTTTCTGAGAATGTGGTACTCTGCTTACCTAGATACTTTTTACCCCAAATATGTTGGTTTTGATCAAGCAGGCTCATTTTGCTCTTGTAAGAGAAGCAGTGCCACCACCCTGGGATATAAATTAATCTTCAATTTGAGAAGAATGATTTAATTACATCACAAAATAATTTCTCTTGCATTACCTTTATTAATTCAACATTCTTTACATAGCACTTCAAATTACAGGAGAAGGCTCTAATTGGTTTCCTATTCCCTAGAATTATCCACAGGTTGTTTCAGAGTGCTGAGATACATTATTTTCAGGTTATTTTTAGGGTGCATTTCCTTAAGCTGATTTTTATTTTGTAGGACAATTTAATGAGGAATGCTAAATTCTATATTAAAAAAAAAAAATTCTCTTTCCTTTAGGATTTTGTGCTGTTAGTACTAAATAAGTGTTACTTTCTGAAGTGTGTGTTCAGGGATCACTGCCTGGCACATATCTGGGTATATAAAGTCACTTGCTTTGGAAGAGCTGACATTTATTAATTGGTGAAAGGCATTAATTGGTAAAAGGCTTTAATTGCATTCTCACTGACCAATGTTCAAAGCCCTTTTAATATTTCCATTAGCCTGTATAGAAACCAAAATGGATTAGATAGGTTTTTAATCTCTCCAGTCCAAATCTTTTTGTAGAATAAGATGTATTTCTAAACTGAGATGTTTGCAGATTTGTGTTGGTGTTTTGATGAAATCAGTGGACTTTATATGTGATTTTTATTTACTTTATTAGCTAAAACTTAAGTTTATTTTGATTCACTTGCAATTAGGGATTTTTTTTTTTTTTTGACAAGTAAGCTTGTTTTAAGGTTTCACTCATACTTTGTTTTATGACTAATTACCAATACTTTGATTCACATAGGTGAAAGAGGGGAAAATATTTGAGGAGGTCACCGTGGGGGTATCTCAGTTGGCCAGCAAGGTATGGAGTGGCCTGCCTGCCCTGAAGGAGGCCAGACAGCAAGCCAGTCTCCATATTCTTCTGAGGAGTTCAGTGAAACAGACCCCCAAGGCAGCTCTAGTCTCTGCTTGTGCTGAACACAGACAATTTGCAAGTGCCATTTTCAGGATGTGCTGCCTGTTGGGGTGTTAAAAAGCTGTGCAGGTGTGGTGTCATCCTTGGGATGGTGTCCCCAGGGGCATGATGGAGAGTTATCAGACAGCCAGTGTCCCAAACACAAAGAGAAAATACCTGCTGGAGAATATGGAGACAGCTTGTGTGACATGTACAGTTGAACCTACTAATGTTCTGCACCTTTTCTCTTTGTCTTCCTTTGCTGTCATTGCTGGTAATGTGGTAAGTGCTTCCACACCTTAGTACAGAAGTTCTGCACAGCCTGTTCCCTGTTTTGATAACTTGGACAGTGTTACCTAGGAGGGCCTGTCTTTCTAACACTGTGCAAGTCAACACTGGAAGCTTAGTGCCTTAAATGTGGGGAATATTTGAATAAAATAAGGGATGTTTCCTCTTGTGTTTAAAGCCTGACAGCTTTTAAGTCTGAATTCTGGGATTCATCCTCTGTATTTATCACTTAAATAGTAACTTCCACAGGTGCCACTTGAGAATCTGTGTTTCTAGTCCATTATAGTAACCCCCAAAGGACTCTCCTGGCAGTCATGTTTATTCCAGAAGTCAATTCCTGGCCTGTTTTACACAGGCAGTGAAGCAGTACTACTGAAATGGGGTGAAAGGGGTTTTGTGGAACAGCAGAAATAGAAATACTTGTGACATGAATTGTAACATCAAGAAAATCAGTGCTGTCGTTTAGTGTAATTTTATGTGAGGAGCAATTCCAGCAGTTTTGTCAAGAGAAAGTTTAGGAGAGAATTTGAAAGCTGTGGACAATGATGGGTGAAAAAGCTCAAGGTGACTTCTCACATCTTCCAGCAGCAGGATGCTCTCAAAGGTGTGTTCTTCACATCAACCACCTAACTGCCCATCCAAAGTATGAGTAAGTTGGGAGTGAAGCTTTCTGGTGGAAGGTGTTGTCTTTATCTGAACAAGTGGAGGAGTGTGTTGTGGCTTTTGCTGTTGCACTTGGAAGAGGTGTTGGTTCAGCCCACATGAATGGAGGGACTTTTCTTGTCTTCCTCTAGGTTCAGGGAGTTGGGAGCAAGGGCTGGAGAGACGTCACCACTTTTTTTTCTGGCAAACCAGATGATAATTCTGAAAGGTATTTTTTGGTTATTCTTTTCTATGTCCCTTTAAACATTTAATTTTATCTCCTGTATGTTCCCTCAGTATGTAGAGAAGTAGTAGTGCTACTCCTTCTTTGCTACTAGTCCTCCTTTATGTAATAGAGGAGAAATTCAGTCTATTTGCTTATGACAGTTGTGAAACTGAACAAAATAGTGCATGGCAGCTTGGGTTTAAAATTATTCCAGATGCCTACCCCCTGGCCCTAGCCCTGCTGGTACTTAAGGCTGTTAATAAAAATCTGTGAATTACAATATAAATTTAAGCCATTTGGAACAATATATTTACTTCTTCAGCCTTTATCCTCAGTTTTTGTTTAAGCAAAGGGCAGTAGCTTCATAGTTTTCTTGGGTCATTTATTTCTGTAGCTATGTTTGTGATAACTAATTTATTTCTACCTTCCTCCCCCCACCCCAAAGACCAGCTGAGGGAGACAGCTACCAGAACAGTGGAGGGGAAGGCTACCAGAACAATGCTGTAGATCAAAGCTTCTGGGAGACCTTTGGCAACTCGGATCCACCAAAAGCTCACAAATCTCCAAGCAGTGAGAGCTGGACCTATGTGGACAATTCCACAGAGAAGAAGAGCTCTGACAGCTGGGACGTGTGGGGCTCAGGAACAGTCTCCAACAACAAGAACAGTAACAGCGACAGCTGGGAAAACTGGGAGACCAACTGGGAAAACACAGGAGGGGAGAGCAAGACCAAAAAACCTCCTAAGGCAACAAAAAAGGCCTCTTCAGCTGATGATGGGTGGGATAACCAGAACTGGTAGGACTCTGCTGACCCTGTTTTGCACAGCTAGGAAAGGGAGGCTCTGCTGGCTGATGGAGGGGAGAAGGTTTTACATGCAACTGGAGTTATCCTGGGTGACCTTATTGATCTGTTACTTTTGTGCTTCCCATTCATTCTCCTTTCTTCTCTCCTGGTTTAGGAAACAAAAAATACATAGCATCTGGATCTTCCTACATAAAGGTGGCTCTCCCTTTTTGAAGGATAGTGGTCACTATCTTCTCCTTGCACTATTGGAGCTGGCTACAGTGACTTTGAGAACACGAATGATCAAAGGAAGAAAAAAAATCAGTGCAAAGCACACTTTGATGGCACAACCTTGCATGTGTAGGTTAATAGATACTCAGCCAGTCATGTAATCTGAGACAACCTGAGGTGTTTAATGCAAACAAAGGTTCAGGGTCTTGAAAACAGAGCCATTAAAAAAGAACCTGCAGCTGGATAGATCTAGATCAAATGCCTTATGGATTGCTCTGACCATATTAAGTCTGGCAATTCAAGATGGTCTTTAAGATACTTTTTATTGGAGCTTTGTTTTTAAATTTTATGAGTTTCTTTTTTTTTTTTTTTAGTCTTTTAAAACTTATTTTCTCCCCTTTGAATTAATAATTATCTAGCTCTAGATTCCTTAATTTGTGTAGGATCCTGATTTGGACTGGAGCTATCAAGGAGTATCCAGAGTGGCTCTACTTGCCCCTCTTGCTCAGTGGGTTTGGAGTTTGTGCAGTGCTGCTCTCTACACAGCCAAAATGGAGAGTGGTGGTGGTCTCCTGTACCTGCATCCTTCCCCCAGGCTGAATATTTTATATAGTCTGGTTTTCCTCTCTCTTTCTTCCTTCTTCATCTACTTTATCTATTCAGATCAAAATGAAATCTTTCTGCTGCTTCTGGCCTTTTGGACATCTGTTTGGCAACTTGGCAGTGAAATTTATAGAGAAGATTCCAGTAAGAGAAAAAATGAGTGGAAAATATGAGAACATTGAGGAGAGAGGCTGGCAGCAAGCCCCATTCAAGATGAATAGTTGTCTGGATATAATACTAAAATTTAGATTAAGCAGATGTTTTCCAAATTACTCTTCAGTATATCAAACTCTATCTCTCTTTCTATCTTGAACTTCTCCACATTTCCCTCCTGGATCTTGTGGAAGAAAAACACTATTTTGGAAACTTGAGAAACTCCTCGTCAGCATTAAGGACTGGAAGATTCAGCTCTGTCTCAGTTTTGACCCAACAAATGGCTTTGCAGGGCACAGACCAGAACTTCTGCAGAAGAACTGAAACTTTGACCACAAAGGTGTCCTGTGGATCCCCTTTTATTTTTGAGGGTGGGTTTTAAATGTCCACTCAGCCCAAAAAAACCAATCAGCTCACTTGAAAACTTCCAATCATGGTGTTGCGACACAGTCTGCTTTGCTACCAGCATGGAGCTCTTTACTGTGGACTCTGTAAATCTTAAGACATCCCTAAAAGGCCTTTTTAAAATCAGTGAATTCAAGCAAACAACTGACTTCCTGTGTACAAATTTTGTATGGCTTCTCCTTCATAAACCTCCTAGAACAGCTCCTGGGAGGTCAAGCTTTATTTCAGTCCCTTCCATCAGTGGATTTGTACCTTCTCCTCAACTCTCTGGTTTGCCCAGGAGAAAACTGCTTTATTTATGTATCACTTGCAGCTACGGTTGGCGTGAGCCATTTATTTGTTCTGGTTTTATTCTTGTACCCTTTGAAACTTTGTTCTAAATCAAACTGAGCAGCCAGAGACCTACTCAGGTGGAAGCTTTGGGTGATGAATTTTCTTCCAGTTGAGACAGAACAGTTCCTGTCTCCCTTTGTGCAGTGCTGTAGAGAGGTGACAAAGTGCTACAACACCCAGAAAGGTGTTAAGGGAAGATACTAAAACCCATCAGAATGACAAGAAACCACAGCCACAGAATGACCATAGTGATAATCTTTTTTTTTTATGACTTGTCTGAATCAGAGTGTTTTATGGTGTCTTCCAGAGGGGAGGAAGAAACAACAGCATCACCTTTTGCCAAGCTTCTGTTTTCTTGGCTCTTACTTGGTTTTGTGTAGAGGGCTGGGAGGTTTCTGCAGTTTGGTGGGATGCATCCAGTCAAGGTGCATGTGCAGAGCCAGGGCTTATAGATTAGACTTTTATTTTTATTAAATCCCACCTCCTCTCCCCAAATCCTTGTATTTTTTTTAGTAAACAGAGGCATTGAGTGCAGGCTGCCTGTCTTCAGCTTTGGGAAATACACAGCAGCCAGATTCCTGCAGGTAACCTGAAACAAGAACAACTTCAAGACGTTCAGACTAAGTGCCACTTGCAAAAGAGTGAAAGTCTTGGAGAACGTTCCTGAACCAGGAACCTTATCTGAGGAGTTAGGGATTATTTTGACATGTTTCATTTGTGTCTTGAAACCTCATAAAATAAATTATGACATCTCAAGAAGTGCTTGGCCAGCTCTCCCTCGTGGTTGAGACCTCAAGGCTAATGCTTTTATTTTCCAGGCCAGACTGTGTAACATTCCATGGGTTCATAATGTATTTATCAGTGTAATGATCTGTGCAATAATTCAACAATTGTAGGTAAAACCCTTTGTTGTTTAATCCAGGATGCATTTGAAGATACAGTGGTCCTCTTGGAGAAGAGCAGGTTCCCAAAGGGATTTCAGTCCTCACCTGCCTTTGGCAATATTAAATCCCAGTGTTAAGAAAGGCTGGAATGATCTGATTGAGGACTCAAGAAGCATTTTGGTGCCCATTATCAGAATTTGATTGTAGTGGCTTAGTGACAGTTGTAGAGCCTTGGCCACTGTGGGAGTACTGTATCTTTGATTTTCCTGGTGTGTTTTTTGTGAAGTTCACAGGAATGGCCATTTCAGTGAACACTACTCATTGTTCTGTAGAGTGGTACTGGACTTGAACTGCAGTGTCATCTTTTCAAGAGCATTATAATAAAGCAAAGAGATACTGAGCAAGATGGTGTTTTACCCTTTTTTACCCTTTTTTCAGGAGATTTTAGACCCCAGTGCATCACCTGGCCCTTTGACTGAAGTTAGTTCTTGGTGTGGTTAACGCTGCAGAGTGAACTCACAATGGGATACTTCCTAATTAAGGAAGTAAGAAACTATTGTGACTATAGATAAGTCTGAAATTTCTTGGAGGAGGGTGGATGACATGAGCAGCAGAAGTGTGTCCTGATGTGCTGGGGTCATCCCTCACTGCCAGCAAGGGAGGAAAAAGGAGATGGAGAGTGCTGAATGCTGCCCAGATGAGGTGTTCCATCTTCTGTTTTGTTGGGGTTTCATAGTCTAAAGGCTAATTTCAGATCTCTTTCAATTAGGAACAGTTTTAACACAACATTGGTTGCCTCCTTGATTTAAAGACAACTATGAAACAGAAGAAGTGACTGCAGATAGATTTATGTACTCTGAGGTGTTATTAGCTTGTCTACGAAAGCACTTTTCAAAGGTAACTTTCAGAGCAGTTTTCCAAGAAGTGAGATCCCTCTGGTGAATCCTCCAGCTCATGGTGATGGTTCATAGAGTCCAGTTTCCTTCATTAGCCAAAGGGCCATGTGACTGCTCTGGATGATGGATGATAGCAATTTAAAATATCTTTAGGATGTTCTTGGTCAGCAAGACTGTTTCCTGCCTGCCTTGTAGGAGTAATTGTACTGATTTTTACATGAAAGCAAAAGTAGATGTTTGGGTTGGGTAACAGCTCTGGTGTCACTCCATTGATAATTCTGTGCCTGTAATTGTTAACATCCTGCATTAAGGGATCTCAGATCTTCCTGCTGTGACCCCAGGAGGTTCAGTTTAAGCTGTTTTACCATTATCTAGCTCTTTATTTACGTTCTTGTAGCAGGTGCAGGCTCCAAAGATGACTACCTGGGGTTCCTGGTGTTCACAGCTCAGGAGTTTTAAGGAACAAAACACTGTTGGTATCTGAGGGATACGTCCTGGTTGCCCTTCTCATGCATTCTTACCTTCTCCAGCAGGTTCATCAACAGGCACTTTGCTTGGCTCTCTCAGGAGGTGGCCTCAAGTTGCCCCAGGGGAGGTTGAGGTTGGAGCTGAGGAACAATTTCTCCTCCTGGAGGGTTGTCCAGGGCTGTCGTGGTGGAGTCCCCATCCCTGGAGGGGTTTCCAAGCTGTGGAGATGCGGTGCTGAGGGACATGGGTCAGTGGGGACCTGGCAGTGCTGGGGGAAGGGTTGGACTTGTTGATCTGAAAGGTCTCTTCCAGCCAGCAGGATTCTGTGTTTCCCTGGAGCTGTGAAACCCAAAGCTCTGCACGTGTGCAGCACGAGCATTCATCAGCTGTGAAGTCACCAGTGTGCACGGAGGCCAAGGCACGTTGCCTGTCCCTCCTGGCTCCAGCTGCTCCTGCTCTGGCAGCAAGAAGCTGCATCTCCTCAGCAACACAGGAGAAGAAAGTCTGGGGGCCTCTTCATTGCTGCTCAGCTTAGGTGAGATGGAACTTCACCAAATCCAGCCCAAACAACACTTTACCAAGCTCTGACTTTCACCAGCACTGCCACCAGGGCTCTTTAAATGGGTACAGATGGAAGAGATGAAATAACCCAGTGCTTGTCCTTCCAACATCCAGTGCTTAATGTGTCTAAATCCATGTGCCAGACTACATAAAATCTGTTGTGATCGTGGCCAGGCTGGGTATTTTCTCCTTTCCAGAAACCTCCCTGTGTGGTGTTCCCTCACAGAAGCTTGTGGCAGTTCAGGAGTGAATTCCCCTTGGAGCTCTGCATTCACAGATCTCTTGGCTCCATCCATCAGCTGCCACTTTGGGGCTGTGCCTCAGTGCCACGCACTGCACCTGGATTACAGCTTTAGGCCACCTAGGCAGGGCTTAACTGGGCAACTGGAGCTCCCTGGTGTTGCTGCAGCCCAGGCAAGAGCAGACTCTAAATCTAAACTCACTCCTGGGTCTTTTAAACCCACGCCAAGATGTGTCTCTAAGCTGGTCGTAGAATGTTTTATGGTGCACAAAGCATATAAAAGAAGTGGGATAAATACTTGTGTAGCCTAGTGCTAGCCCGTGGTGGTTGTGAAGGGCTTTATTTGGTCTGTGCTGGAGTCCAGAGGCTCACCTGCCTTCCTCTGATCAGGACCCACCTCCTTCCAGAGCCCACGAGGGGCTG